CACACTGCTTGGATGGCTTTAGAGACTGGTGAACTATTACACCAAGATCCCTTTTTTTCATGACACTGTTAAGGTTATTCTCATCAAAAGTATACTTATAATCAAAATTATGATAACTCTAATGCATTATCTTGCATTTATTATAATTAAAACCCATTTGCAATTTATTTGCCCAACTCACTAAATGATCTAAATCCTTTTGTGCCCCTGGGTAGCATAATCTGATTCTTTTCTCACTATTTACCACACAGACTAACCTATCCCCAGGCCTTGTTGAGGAATCACCTATAACTATAACTTCCTTATCATCCATATTCTTCTCTGACCCTCTTGTTTTCCTTCCATCCAATAGTTCGTCATCTGCAGAAGCCAAGGGCTGAAATTTATTGCTTAGTAAAGAAGTTGATATTCCTATATGTAGTTATCAGCATAGCTTTCTAGTCTGAGTTCTGAAATGGAACCTTGTATTGTTTATTAATATTATCTTAATTCTGCAGTAAGTAACAATTCTCATACTCTTCACAACATAACAATGACAACTTGATCATGTTGTAATGCCAAGATATAACACAGTATCTTTCCAAAACATGAAAGAACAAATTAAATGGTGGAGTATATATCTAATTAACAGCTTCTTAGACAAAAAAGTAATGTTTAAAGTTTCCAATCTTAGTTATATTATGTCCTATATCAGTATTTTCCACAGTGTGGGGTATGCTGGGGGGTTACTAATGATCTCTTGTGGGGTGAGTGATTAGGGTAGAGTCAATAGTGAAATAATGCAAAATTAAGAGTTTTATTATATTTTTCATTAATGAAAATAATAAGTAATTACTATAACACAAGGTATTTTAATGCATATCTGTGTATTATATTTTGCCACTTAATTCACTCTTTCACTCTTTGAAAAACAAGAGGAGGGCATGAATAACAAAAGTTTGGGAAATGCTGCTCTGTCTGACCGAATATTAAACAATTTTTCTCAAAAAGTAAACAAAACTGCAACAACATGAAAGTTACCACTTCTTGCACACAAGGATAAGGAATCATCATGAAAAAACATTAATAACAAAACTTAGTCAAAATTCATTTGCAACATACATGTGTCCAGCTAAAGTAATAGCTTGACTAAAATTACTTTGCTGAAAAGTTACGAAAAATGGCAAGAGAGAGTAATAAAGTGATGAAAGCATTTGATAAAAAAATAAGTAAAAATTCAAAAATAGGACAGTGTTAAATTATTTCTACATTTAAGGTTTAAGCCATTCTTCAGGATATATTAAAAGACTGTTAAAATAAATGTACCTGAGTTGTATAACAGTGATTTGTTGTTGCATTATTGGAAGAGAGGAGTAAAATACAATTAGATTAAAATAAAATATTTTATAAATTTAGCATCAAATCAAAGAGAAATATTTAAATTTTCAATCTTCAATTTTATGCATCACATGACACTTCTTTGCTTTGATTTCCTTTCCACCCTTTATTACTTTCTAAGTTTACAAGGACTTATACATTTATACATTAGATATTCCCGTGGAAAAGTTTGTTGAGACTATTTTTCTTACTTTAATGGGTTATATGCCATAAGCTAAAACTCATTGTACATGCTGTCTTTAAAAAATGACATTTGCTATTAGATTATTTACAACCAATGGAAATATTTTAATCTACTGTTTTTTATGAGATTAGTATATTCTCATGATGATCTTTGAGTTATTCTGCATCAATTTCATAGTTTGCTATTGCCAAGATTGCCCTGACCAGGTAAAGAAAACATTTTAAACCACATATAGCTTAGTTAGAAAGCCAGTTAAATTATAATAGTTTTAGGACATACTATTTTGTTGCATTTAATATTTTGTGTTTTAAATTTCACATTTAAAATAAATAACAATTATGTAAAGTAGTAACAATACTCCTACAAAAAATTGGGTTAACTTTCACTGAGACTTTGAGAGCATTACAAGATACACACATAAGTACTAAATTTCAAGTTTTTTATGTAATTCTTTTTTTTCTTTATTGTTATAAAAGTAACTAATATGTAAAAATTAGGAACTTATTAGTTGCATAAGAAAAATTCATGGAAAAAACACTTGATAGTATAAGCAAATGTTGTGAGCATGGCATGTTGTAATTTTACTGAGAATGTTGGTAATTTGATGCTGTCCTTACCCAAAACTTCCCTGCTGTGATAATTCACTTTGGTATTATTCTTAGTAAATCAATAATTTTAAATGACTGAGAGATTTGAATTGTGTTGGCTTTGGCTGTAAGAATAAATAGTGTGTCATTGTTTGTAAGAAAATGAAGAAATTCTAGAAAGAAAAAGGGTAATTACATATATTTAATTTTTTTTTGTGGTGGTTACAAGGTTTACCAAATGAACTGAGCCTGTATATAGTGTTAGGGTAGAGAGCATAAAATATGAGATATAGAGATTTACTGTAAAAACTTTGATATTTATTTAGGAGGTTTTAGAAAGTATGCAAATGAAATCTGAAAACTGTACAAAGAAAGTATTTTTAATTTTGACATAAAAACCACCTTGCACTCAAACTAGTCACTTAACTAAAAAATATGATTTTTTTTACATACAAAAGACTTGTAATATATACTAAAAGCTTGCCACATTTCATGAAGACACTTACTACATACAAAATTATAGTATGTCTAGCTACCTGGTGGTTAAAAAGGGCATTCAAATAATCAAGCCTTTATGGAGAATTAAATATTGTAAAGGAGGGACTAAACCTAAACATCTAAAATGTTGAAATAAATGAATAAAAGTGCCACCTAGTTTAGTTTTAAATTCATACTTCATCAACTGTTTTTCTAAATAAAATTACCCCTTGCATGAAGATAAAGTGTTGAAGTTTTCTGGCAAGTTAGTTTATAACTACATGCAGTTCTTTATGTACATTTTAAATGTATTATGATATTTTCTCTTTTATAACCAGCATTTCTCCAGTTCAAAAGGAAGTGCATGTTACCCAGGTTCATTCGTTAATTATGAACAATTTCTAATTCACTTAATAATATGTTGCTAGGTTTTATTATGGCAAAATTTAATATATTTCTACTTGGCACGTAACTTTGCTTGGTGAGAAAAATGTCTTATTCTTTAATTACTGGTCTTTTAGGTTAAGGGTTTATTATCAAAATGTTTGGATGTGAGCTTCGTATTATGTAGCATTTTCCCCACTAGAAATTTCCTTTCAGCAGAACTAGTGCTTGAGTCATGTAGCATGTACTGGTTAACTTTCCTGTTTTTGTTTTTAAGTGAACTTTATTTATAGCTTTCCGTACTCTAATGTTGAAATAAACACTGAATATTAATATTCGAAAGACAACTTAAGAAAGAAAAGCAAGAAAAGATAATGATACATTAGCCATAGCTTCAATGCTTTTAAAAATATTTTCTGTTTTGAAAGAAAGAAAATTAAAACAGCAGCAAGAGTTTTATTCAGATGGGTCATTAAGAAATGATGTATAATCAGATAAAACATAAACAGTATAGGGGTTACAGAAACATACATTATTACAATCAATTGTTATATACAAAATGTCAAAAACATGTATGTTTACATGATATATAAAATGAAATACCTCATTAACATCCTTTAATGTCTCTACCAACATCTTTTCAATATTTCTCATTACTGCCATCTTCTGGAAACCTTGAAGAGGATATGTAATTTTTCCAGAAGGTCCTGACTAACAATGAGGAAAAATAAAGAGCTGTGAAAAACTTAGTTCTCCTGACAGCTCTACTTATGCTTTACCATTCAAAACCTAATAACAACAAAGAAAACAGCAAATGTATCCATTTTCAATTACTTTACCTTCAATGTTTTCCCTTAGTAGCAATTATAAACTATTTAATGAACAATGTATACTTTTATCACAATTTAATGGCAGTAGACTGAAAAGGAGACTTGATAAATATGGCATAATCTGATTAATGAAGTTAACATTAATCAATATACATTCTACCATTTTACTGAAAATTTTATAAGTAAAAAACAAACCAAAGAAAAAGTTTATAAGAATAATTGACGGGTCAAGCTAAGTAAAAATCACCTTATTAAGATAACCCATTTAATTTTCCTTAAGTTCCTACTTGTGTGTGAACTTATGATCTGAACATTTCTTAGATTACTTCATTATCTTCATAAATTCGAAATTATCTTAAGAAACTTATTTATATTTTAAAATGCTTTACATTTGTATGTACATTAAAATTAAAGCTTCAACTGAGAGTGATCCCTCCCATGGTCATTGACAAACAACAGATAGCAGAGGTAGAAGAGAAAAGGTCTGGTTGGCCTCCGTAGTAGAAACATTCACTTGGGAATTCATTCCCGTTGGTACATTTTTTTTGTTGTTGTTAAATGAAAATATAACCATAGTAAAGCCAACCACGTTCAAAGTCACAACACTCATGGTTATAGAAACCCATGCTGAATACTTTGTTGAGAAAAAGTGATTACATTACTTGAATGAGGTGCTTATATACAGTACCAAGCTAGAGGGTGCACTGAAGTTGGTGGAAAATTTTGCAAATTAGAGTTTTCCAAGGGCATTGGGATCAAAAAGACTGGAGCAAGCATTTTCAATGCTTAGATGGGCAAAGAGTGGAAATCATGGAAATTGAGAAATAGATATAGTGTCAGCGGAAGTGTGTTTTGGAATTCATATATTTTGTCAAATAAAAGCAAAATCCTAAAAGTTATATTTTACTTTTCTGTATGTGTTTTGTGGAATGGAGAGGGGGATAGTAGATTTTTAAAAAGGGTGAGTATATTTCTCTTTCATTTGCTCACTTAAAAATCACAGACCCTTGACCCTAAAAATTTTAAAAGAACAGATACTTATGCCTACTTCAAAGAACAATTATCTGTAACATATTAAGGTAAAATATCTAAATAAAATCTAATAACTTTCAGTACTTTTATATCTATGTTAGTTTGATATATATATATTGGAAACATTAAATAATTACCTTCACTAAAATTGATTGATGAAAAGCCACAGTAAAACTTCTTAAAATTCAAAATATTTAAAAACAGTGTGTGTGTGTGTGTCTATACATACAAGAGAAAAACCAAGTTTTACAGGATAAATTTAAACTGATATTTAGTTGGTTATCTTCAAAGTTGAATTGACTGGATTCCTTTTTATATGAATAATTAAGTCTTAAACAATCAACTTGCAACCTAGACAGGTAAATTAAAGTTATTTAAACAAACAGATCTATTTGTTTCATAAAAAATTAAACCAAATATAAGATTGTCTTCTGCATTAAAAATAATTTATTATTATATACACGACTTACTGCAGCATTAACAGCTTCATATTATACCTCTGAAAAAAAGTTTAGTTTTAATACTGTTGATGTTGAACAGTGTGATGTTAATCCAGAAGAACTCACCTTGTACCAGAAATTTAAAGAAACTGCATAGTCTCCATGCTGTACAGTTTCAACATGATGCCACCAGTACATGGGAAGATAAAGCACATCACCTGGCCCTAACACTGCCTCCTGTCCACTGATGTCATGAAATTTTGGAAACTTATCATACTGGGGAACATCAAAGTCAACCTGGTTAAAAAAACTTTTTCATTCACAGAGGTGGCCACACAATATTGTACATGATAAATGCTCTTTTGACATTTGAAATAAAACTATTAAAACAGCTGCAAGAAGATTATATAGAAGTTTTACTACAAAGTCTGACTTCAACTGCTCAAGAGGTCATTAGACAATCATTCAATCAGCCCCAGTAACTTTCTCTTTTTATCAAAAGTAGCTAACTCCTTGGTAAACCTTTATAATTTGTAACAATCACAGAGTTTTACATGCAGCCTACTCTCTTAATAAAACTCTATAGCTTGTAACAGCTACAGTGTTCTTGTTACTGCTGCAAAGAGCCCATTTCTGAATAAACCTCTAAAACTTGTAAAAGTTAGTGTTTTCTGGCTAACCTCTACAACTGGTGTTACAAGCTGTCAAATTTCTTGATAAACCTCTATATAACTTGTAACAGTCGATGTGCTTCAATTACTGTTAAAGCAACCAACTTTCTTGATAACACTCTATAACTTGTAACAGCTAAAGCTTTCATGCTAGTTTTACAAGCTGCCACCTTTATTGATAAACCTGTAAGTTAGAGAGACCAAACAGAGAACACAAGAAGAAAATCTGTAGAGATAAAAAACCTGTTTGAAGTTTGGGAGATATAACACTGAGAATGAAAAGAGCCCCAATTTTTCAAAGAAAGAAAAATTTTCAAACCATATTCTGATCTAATATTGGCTTTTTGTTGTGTGAAGTCCAGGTTCTAAAGGTTAAAAATCATGGAATACTAAATCAATGATTGGATTACTTTATTTCACATTTACATTAATGTATCTACAAATCTGTAAGTTTGGGCTTTTGAACATATACAGGTTTGACATAACAGCAACAATATGTATATTTCAAATAAACAAGCAAAATTTAAAATGACATACATAAAACAATATATCAGACATGTGGAAAACAAGTTATTATCTTTTTTTCCCTCTTACCTAATACATAAAAATTAAGTTAGAAATATTTGTAGTGGCAATAATGAAATATGTATAAAATGAATTATATGCATTGAAAGAATGTACTATGTACGATGTATCACACTTAGATAACTAGAAGATATCCTTAACTCTTTCAGCACGGGCTCATTCCCTGGGACGACCTCATAACC